CCTCCTTCCCTCCTTTAGTCTCTCAGAGGTTGGGAGTCCCCTCAAAGAGCCAGGTTAGCTGCGGTGGTCTCTTCTCCCAGCACCTCAATCCACCACCACGCTGACGCCTCTCAGGACGGCAGGACCGGCCTGGGTACTCTGCTCCTTTGCCCCAAGCCCACGTCCATGCCTGTTGCCTCCCTTCCATCTCTGCTCTCCATCCCCATCACCCCCCACTCAGTGTTTCAACCTGGGCAGCTGCTTCTAGCCTCCCTTCTCAGCAAGCCCAGTCACAGAGCCGCTGTGCACTTCCGAGGGGCCTGGGAATGGGTCCAGCTCCCCACCCTCCCTCCTGGACGGCTACACCGCCCAACACACCGCTGTTGGGTCTCTGTTGATGCCAGTCCAGGGGCTTTCCTCTCAAACACACATCTGCTCACGGCTGTCCGCTGCTGAGCCCCTTTCCTGGTGCCTCACTGAGCTCGGGAAGAAGTCTAAGGCCCCAAAGAGCAAGCCCTGGGTGATCAGCCTTTATCAAACCCCCACAGCTAAGCTCCCCATGGGCAGTGTCATGGGACGTGGACTCCTGCTAAGTCTTGATATTCATCACACTCACTCCCACTCTCACTCCATCACCCTAGCTCGTTGCCACAGTCTCAGATCACCTCCTAGGAGAAACCCTCTGACTTCCCCTCTTCTACCCTGCGAGCTGGGCCCCTCCTTGCTGTCCCCAGAGCCGCCACCACCCCCTCCCCGTTCTGCCTGCCTCCTGGCACCGTGCCAAGCCCCCTGCAGTGGGCTCGCCTGTCTGCTGTCACACCACGGGCTCCCGTTCACGGAGAGCTGCCCCTCATTCATCAGCCCAGGTCCTTGTGCCAAGCTAGGCACTGCGTGGCTGAAGACAGGAATTCAGGCAGGCAGAGAGAAAGCAGAGGGCGCTAGCAAGCAGGTTAAGTTCATCAGCATGGAGGCAGGGAACCCATGCCGCGGGGACCTGCTCAGAGTTTGCTATGCATTTGGGGCCTGGCTTCCTAGCAGCCCGTACAAAGAGTGGAGACAGCTAGTTGCACAAACCAAGACCTCCGTGGGGTCACCTCCAACTGTTGCTCACAAGATGCAGAACTTTCTGTGTCTCCCCTCTTTGTACCTGATACCAGGTCTGAGGAGAAATGTCTCCTGAGCTACCTCATGAAGGAACCAGAGTACAGCCCCCTCCCACAGCGCCCCTACTTCCCCAGAACGGAGCTGCTGCACTGCTCTCCGCTCCTTTGTCCCACCACGACAGTTAGCTCTCTGGAGACATATGGGGTGGGTGGGTGGTATCTGTTTATTCTGGCACCCCCCCACCCCCGTTAAGTCTGGCACAATATCTTAAACATAGCTCAATACATACTACTGTGTAAACGCATTTAAGGATCTACGTAAAACATACCCACACACCTATATATATACCTGGGTTCATATATACAAGGGGGCTTCAAAAAGTGGGGCGGGGGGAGCCCTGAGAGAAAGGAATGTTTTCACAAATGCTGGAAGCATGTTTCTATCTATGCACACCCTCAGCAATTCTCAAATTCCCTTCAAATACCTGCTGAATATAAAAGCAGACTCTTTCAATACATTCCCTCCCTGCCTGACAGCAGGAATTTTCATCACCTTGTCCAGAAAGAAGCCCCCCAACACCCCACCCCCACCCCCCGCAGGCAGCTGAAGTGCTTGCCCAGACCCAGGGCAGGAGGGCCCACGTGTCCGAGGCAGCGGCCTCACCTGTTGATGCCTTCTAGGGCTGACGTCAGACCCTTGTCAATCTGCAGCACAGTCATATAGTCCACATAGGCCAGCGGGTACTTCTCCAGCGCCTCGTAGGCAGCGGCCCGTCGCAGCAGGGGCTTCATGCCAAAGGGGGCCAAGGCAAGTGCCCTAGAGTGGCAGGAAGGCAGGGCTGTGATCTGGCTGCTGGTCCAGCAGGCCGGGCCAGCTACGGCACTCGGTGTCCTGGGGAGCCTTCTGGCCAAGAGATAGCGTGAAGCACACCAAGCCTCAGAGCAGGGACTGGGCGGCTGAGTTAGACGGAAGCACGGGGGAGAGCGAGGCCAGAGAGCCACTAACAGTGTGCACTCTTCCTGTGCATCGTTGGCCTCGTCTCAGCCCCACCCTGGACCAGAGAACCACTAACAGTGTGCAAGCTCTTCCTGTGCATCCGTTGGCCTCGTCTCAGCCCCACCTTGGAACAAGAGCCAGTGCCTCCATGTCTCTCCGGGCGTCTCCAGAGGTGTGGCCTCGGGGGAACAAGAGGTTTGGGAGTCCCACAGAGTGGGGCCTGGACTCCACCACTCCACCTCGGCTATGAACCATGCGATCCCGGGCCAGTCAATTCACTACCCTACCAGCTCTGGCCCAAGGCTCTTACACTTGCCCCACCAAGAGGCTGTGAGCACACCAGCCTGGCCCCAGCTCCGGCCTCCCTGTCTGTCATCAGGGGGGATTCTAAGGCGATGTCACAGGGCATTGGGTCTGAATAAGTTTAGAGAGGACGAGAGAAGACCAGTGTAAATGACTTGGAGGCAGAAGGTGATTTTAAACGTGTGCTGTCCTCCACCCAGTACTAGCCAGTGCCACTCAGTTGATGCCACCTCAATGTGACCCGTGTGCGTCAGAGCAGAGCAGTCTGTGCCCCACTGCGCTTTCAATGGCTGGATCTGGGGAAGTAGGTCACCAGGTCTTTCTTCTGAGGCACTTCTGAGTGAACCCTAACTCCTAATTTCTATGAAACGGTCCCCACCTCCTAGAGCCTCCTGCAGGAGCCTGGTGGCAGAGTGGTTACAGGGCAGGCGGCTAACCACAAGGTCAGCAGTTAGAAGCCACCAGCCACTCTGAGGGAGAAGAGGAGGGCCAGTCAAGAGGTACAGGCTCTGAAGCCCACAGAGACAGCTCCACCCTGCCCTATAGGGTCACTGTGAATCAAACTCAAATCAATGGCAGTGAGTGAGTGAATGTGTAACTGACTGAATGAGTAAATAAGTGAGTGAGTGAATGAGTAAGTGAATAATGAGTAAGTGAATGAGTGAGTGAGTAAATGAGTGAATAAGTAAGTGAATAGTGAGTGAATCTAGTGAATGAGTGCATGCCTCTTGAAGCTGGTCATTAAGTTACCACTTTCTCTTTTTTTATTGCCCTATTAACCCCTATCTCCACCTTATCTTTTTCTTATAAACACACACACACACACACACACGATATAAAAACTGAGCAAGCCAGGCTGCAACTCCACCTCACGGCAGGGCCTCAGTGTCTCAGCCAACGTAAAGCCCGCCTCGAACTCCCCACCTACTCCATTTTCAGCAGAAGAGAGGAGACTCAAGACTAGAAGTCAGGGGCCGCAAGGCCTAAATGGGCTTCCCATTCTCAGTGACTTGGAAAAAACCATGTCCTACTACCTGTCCTCGATGTCGCTGCAGAACCAGGACAGAAATGAAAGCAGGTGGACCAACCCAGTCTCCCCTCCAGAACCCCCCAGCCTCCTGACAGCTACTCTTGGCCACTTACGAAGTGCAATCTTTGATGCAGTCCGAGCAGTTTCCGTTCTTCAAGTGGCAGGCCGCTCGGTTGGAGTAGAGAATGCTCTCTTCCTCGGGGTCTGAGGATCCCGTCCTCTTGGAAGCTGAAAGAGCGAGCAGATTTTCAGGTTGGGAAATTGCAACCTGGGATGCAGGACTGCACGTCACAGCCTAGTTCCCCTGGGCCTTGGTGAAAGGCAGCAGATAGCTGTAAACTAATCAAGAGTGTGGGTGTGCGAGGCTGGCGTGTTTGTCACTCTTCCGGGAGAGAGAGGACATTGGGCTTTCTGCCCTTCACAAGGGAAGCAAGTGTGCGTCTCCCTCGCTGCTGAACATGGTACACCAGGCCCCAGGTAACCATGAAATTGCCCTGGTGGTGCTGTGGGTTACACGCTGGGCTGCTACCTGCAAGGTCAGTGGTTCCAAACCACCAGCGGCTTGGTACGAGAAAGATGAGGCTGTCTGCTCCTATAGAGATTTACAGTCTTGGAAACCCTACGTAAGGTTATAATCAACTCACTCAACTTGAAGGCAGTGGATTGGCTGGGTTGACTTGAAGATATCCATGCTGTAACTATTTGTGCATGTGTTTGCTTTTGTTACAGAAAATCTGTCCACTTAATCAGAAAAGTAACAAGAGAAAAAGAACATGCCGATAAAAGTTGTACTAATGGCGCGATCACGTGTTGTGGAGATACGAAACACTGAGGAAGATTCTGCGTCACCAAGCCAGAGGACTTGACCAAGGAACGGACACCCGAGCCGGACCTGGCAGGATTACCGACTTAATCAGGGGAAGGATTTAGGCTCCCCAGTGGGGTGAAGAATTATTAGAGAGCAGGCCCTGGTGTCCTGGTGGCACAAATGGCTAAGTGCTCGGCTCCTAATGGAAAGGTTGGCGGTTCAAACCTACTCAGTAGATCCTGGGGGAAAAGAAGCTACAATCTGCCTCCATAAATGTGACCTCCCAGAATGTCAGTTTAGCTCTTGTCACCTGGGAACGCTAAGAGTCAAAAGGGACTCACATTGCCCCAAAACAGACCATTCTTGAAAGACAATCCTGATGCCTGGGATGCTCACACGTACAAGTGTTTCAGTATAAGTGGCCTGTTACATCTGTGATGGATTGAACTGAGTGTTGCCTACTCTCCAGCCCCCACTGCACGATGTCAGAAACCCTACACCCACATACAAACATACAGCAAACCCTTTGGCAATGGGACCTTGTCTGCAAGTCAGTGAGCCCACAGCCAAGCCCATCACCTTGAGATATAAAAAGAGCAGAGTGGGCACCAGACTAAAAAGGAGGCACCGAGGAGGGAAGATACAGGCCACAGGAAGATGGCTGAGGAGCCCTGGACAGAAAATGAAAAGGAACAAGGACCAAGTGAGGGAGAACTCAGCCTTGTAATCTCCTAACTCAGCATTTCTGAAACGGAAAGAACTCAAGGAAAAAATTCAAGCCTCGAGTTGCAATTTTGAAAGATTCTATAGGCAAAATATTAAATGATACAGGAACCAGGAAGGGAAGTTGGAAAGCATAGAGTCTCTGTACCAAAAAGAACTAGTCGACAGTCCACCATTTCGGGAGGTAGCGCGTGAGCAAGAACCAATGGTGCCGAAGGAAGAAGTGCAAACTCCAGGAATGGACGGAGTACCCGCTGAAATGTTCCCAAAAGCTGAAGAAGCACTCACTCATTTATACCAGGAAATCGGGAAGACAGCTACTTGACCAAATGACTGGAAAGATTCATATTTGTGCCCATTCCAAAGAAAGGTGACCCAAAAGAATGCTCAAACGATAGCACGACATCATTGATATCACACAGAAGTAAAATTTTAAAAAGTTAAATCATCCAACAACAAGCTACAGCAGTACATTGACTGGGAATTGCCAGGAGTGCAGGCCGGATTCAGAAGAGAACAAGGGACAAGGGAGATCCTTGCTGGTGTCAGATGGATCTTGGCTCAAAGCAGAGACTAAGCAGGGACTACCAGAAAGAGGTTTACTAGTGTTTCATTGACTATGCCTAGGCACTCGGCTGTGTGGACCACAATAAACTGTGGACAGCCTTGAGAAGAATGGGGATTCCAAATCACTTCATTGTGCTCATGCGAAACATGTATATGGACCAAGAGGCAGCAGTGTGTACAGAACAAGGGAATACCGCATGGTTGAAAATCAGGAAAGGTGCGCATCAGGGCTGTATCCGCTCACCATTCGTGTTCAATCTTTACACTGAGCAAATCATCAGAGAAGTTGAATTCCATGAAGAGTGTGGCATCAGGATTGGAGGAAGGCTTATTAACAAACCATGCAGCATGCAGATGACACCACTTGGCTTGCTGAAAGTGAGGAGGAATTGAAGTCCTTGCTGATGGAGATCAAGGCTTGTCGCCTTCAGTATGGATTATAACTCAATGGAAGGAAGACCAAAATCCTCACAGGTGGATCAATAGCTAACATCATGATTAAACGGAGAAAGTGTTGAAGTTGTCAAGGATTTGTAACTTGGATCTACAATCAGTGGAGCAGTCAAAAGATCAAAAGATGTATTGCATTAGGTAAATGTACTGGACAAGACCTCTTTAACGTGTTGAAGAACAAGGATGTTACTTGAGGACTAATGTGCCTGACCCAAGCCATGATCTCATGTATCACTGCAGGTGAAATGCATCATATGCATGCATGCATCATATCCATTGCATCATAGACATGTGTAAGTTGGACACTGAATAAGGACAAACATACAAGAATCGATGCATATGAATTGTGGGGCTGGAGGAAAACACTGAAAGTACCATGGACTGCTAAAAAGACAAACCGATCTATAGTGGAAGAAGTAAGGCCAGCATGCTTCCTAGAGGCAAGGATGGCAAGACTTCCTCTTACGTACTTTGGAAATATTGTCGGGAGAGACCAGTCTCAAACCAGTGTCCGCAGGACACCGTGTTTGGTGCGGCGGAGGGGTGGTGAAAAAGTGGAAGGCCCTTGACAAGATGGACGGACGGCAGCTGCGTCAATGGGCTTAGGCACGGGAACAACTGGGAAGGGTCGCACGACCATGCAGTGTTTTGTTCCATCACTCTGGGTCACTCTGGGTCAGGGACAACTCAATGGCATCTCACAACAACAACAAGAGAAAATGAATTTGTTTGTTAGAGAAACTGACTTGCATTCTCTCCTAGAATTACCAGGAAACCGAGACATGGCCACGCTGTCAATTTTAAGTTACTCTCCCAGCCACTTCACACCCAACAAAATAGACATAATAAAAATCAAAAAGCCCAGTGTTGGTGAGGGTGTGGAGAAACCGGCACACTCTGCTGCTGCTCTGGGCAAACTGCGTGATGGTATAGCCGCTATGGAAGAGGGTGTGTTGGTTCCTCGAAAAGTTAAGACAGAAAGCTAAGGCAGAGGTTAAGGCAGAAGCCCAGTGGGACTGGACACAGATGTTCCCACAAAAGCCTGAACCTGAGTATTTACTGCAGCTCCCAAGGGCCCAAATGTACAAACCACCCGAGTTTTCATCAGCTGATGGATGACTGGATACACAAAGCATGGTCTAGCTACACCATGAACAACTGACTATTCAGTTTCACAGAAGGAGTGAAGACATGGGACGACTTGGGTGAACCTTGAACTCATTACACTAAGTGAAAGAAGCCAGTCACAAAAGGCCACACCGTGCCCAGTTCGGTGTAGATGACCTGTCTAGCACAGGTCTGTGGAGAGAGAAACCAGATTGGCGGCTCTGGAGACCGTGATGGAGGTTGAGCAACCTTGTGAATATGCTTAAGGCCACTGAATCGTCAAAGTGGCTAATGTGGCAAATATTACGTGTACTTTGCGTAAAAGGATGGGGGAAGTAGAGGGCAAATGTTTTGAGATTGATGAGGGCAACAGGTGTACACAGGTGCTTGACTCAATGGATGGATG